AAGTATTATCTAACTTAAATAATTTCAAATGATCTAATTATAGAACTTGGTAGGCTAAGAGAATCAGATGAAAGCACTTTGAATTAATAAAGGTTCAAGAAAAAGACTGCACACAGTTTGCATTAAAAGCTTAATGTTTCTTGGGGCTGGAGAGATGGCTCAGCAGTTAAGAGCACTGACTGCTCTTGCAGAGGACCCAGGTTCAGTTCCCAGCACCCATATGATTGCTAACAACTGTAACTCTAATTCTAGGGAATCTGATACCCTCTTCTGGGCTCTGCCGGAATTTCACAACACAGGTCCACTTACATACATGAGGGCAAGACACTCATATACATAAAATAAAAATAAATAAATTGGGGACTGGAAAGATGGCTCAGCAGTTAAAAGCACTGACTGCTCTTGCAGGGGACCTGGTTTGATTTCCAGCACCCACATAGTGGCTAACAACTGTCTGTACCTCCAGTTCTAGGGGATCCAACCTCTGAACTCTTCTGACCTCCATGTCATTGCATGGCACAAGTGCATTTATATACATGTGGGAAAGACACTCATATACATAAAATAAAAAATAATTAATTAGTTAAATAATTTAAAAAGATTTAATGCTTCCTAAATAATCTACTGCAAGACAATGTAAGAAATTATGGCATTAGTCGGGCATGGTGGCACACACTTTTAATCCCAGCACTTGAGAGTCAGAGGCAGACAGATCTCTGTAAGATTGAGGCTAGCCTGGTTTATGTAGTGAGTTCCAGGCCAGCTGTGGGTACAGAGAGATCCTGTCTCAAAGGAAAAAAAAAAAAGAACTCTTTTAAGTGAATTGGACTATAGATTGGATTAAAACATCTTCCCAAAGTAGGCCAAAAAAATCTCTAATATTTAAAAAAGGCATATTCTGGCTGGAAGTGGTGGTACATGCCTTTAATCCTAGCACTCAGGAGGCAGAGGCAGGTGGATCTCTGTGAGTTCAAGGTCAGCCTGGTCTACGTAGTGAGTTCCAGGCCAGCTGGGACTACAGGGGGACTCTGTCTCAGAAAGAGAGAGAAAAAAAGGCCATATTCTATATTTTCTGTACAAAAAGACTATAAAGATGGGATTTCTTTTAAAAATTATGCTTAAATACAGTGTAATTCCAACCATGGCTTGATTGAATGATATTAAAGTATCTGTCCTAAGGCAAAGGATGCTTTAGCCAGGCATGGTGGCACATGTCTATAATCCCAGCACCTATGCAGAAGGCTGAAGCAGCAGGATCTAGTGTTCAAGGCCAGCCTGAGCTACATAGGAAGATTCTGCCTCAAGACAACAAACATCAACAGGACCAGCACTATACAAAGTGGATAGATGACAGTGTGGACAGACTGCATTCAGGAGGCTTTGCATAGGTCTATAATTTATATCCTTGTGAAGAAACCAAAACCCAAAATCTTGGATGGTGCACTGTAGGCATGGTAAAGGAATGCGGGATTCTGATTGACTTGTGTCTTTTTTTTTTTTTAAGGCAGAGTCTCATGTAGCCCAGTTTCAGGCTTGCTATGTAGTTGAGGATGACCCTGAACTTCTGATCCTCCTCTCTCTACCTCCCAAGTGCTGGGATTACAGGCACAAGTTACCATACCTAGTTTATTTGAGACATTTTTCTATTTTGAGTTGAAATAATTCTATCTTCTTTCTCATCAAGACATTTTTAAAAAACTGTAAGACAGAAGATAAAATAGTGTTTTAGTTTCTGTCCTTTAATGTCTCTTTCTCCACCTTCTACCCCCCTGCAACAGTCCATCTTTTATATACTTCAACTGTGGGAAATATATTTTGAGTCCTTAGTAATTTTGTCACCTTATTTTATTTTAATTTTTGGGACGGGATTTTGCTCTGTAGCTCAAACTGGCCTTCAATTCAAGATCCTCCTGTCTCTACCTTCCCTGAGTACTAGGGTTAGAGGTGCAGCGCACCACCTCACCATGCTGGGCTGAGCCGTGTCATTTTAAAGTCTGATTATCAGTAACTGGCACACAATGTTCAATGTCGTGGTTTCGGGATATGGGAGAGAGTGTCACTGTTCACTACTTGTTCTCCATGCGCCGTGATCAACTCTGGCCTCCCCACCAGGCCTATGAACACTGTCAGCCTTCAGATCGGTTCTATCTTCCTGATGGATTATTCCACAGTGGGATTCCACAGGTGACAGTAGTACTGTGTCAAGGATAAGCAAGAACCAGGGAGTTAGTGCCACAAAGATTGGCTTTGCATACCAGGAATTGTGCAGCTGCACACACACAGGTAAACGTGAGCTACTTCCTATACTTTTCCCACCAGATTTATAAGCCTTATGGACAATCCCATTGATAAGACCGAGTTTCAAGATGATGATGAAATAATAGAAAGTGAACAGGACCGCCAGCATTTTGATAAGGAATTTATGAAAGCCTATATTGAGGACCTTAAAGAAAGAGGTGAGTGGCTCATATTTAAAATCATCTGAGATGTATTATATAATTCTACTTGCTCATGTAACACAAATATAGATATAATATTTGACAAAAAATATTGATTAGGAGTCAGGTTAGTGTGTAACTATTTGTAAACTGAAATATTGTGTTTCCTTAAGATATGAGATTTTTTTCCTAGTGCACTTGATGCTTGGTACATCATGAACTAATTGACAGGGCACAGAAGCTGAGAAACACCCAATGAAAATGTGAGGGTTGTATTACTAAATGTACATGATCTTTAAAAGAATTAAATTTGTGTGTGTGTGTGTGTGTGTGTGTGTGTGTGTGTGTGTGGGTGGGTGGGTGAGTGTATGATGCTGGGGCACACACATACCACAAAGTGCATGTGTAGGTCAGAGGACAACTCTGTGGATCTAGTTCTCTCATCCTACCGCTATGTAGGTTCTGGGGATCAAACTCAGACTGCCACATTTGTGTGGCAAGTGCCTTAACCGGTGAGCCATGACACTGACCCTGTATATGATCTTTTAATTAAACTATACCAACAAAATAGTATTCTAACTTATTAGGACAATAAGACCCCATTTCAAAAATCTACTTAAATTTTTGAAAATATTAACTCATTTAAATCAAGAAATACTTATATTAATGTCACAAAAAGAAAAACACAGCCAACTATTGAATGGATCCACTTAATTTGGGTTTTCTACTGCATAATAGTAATACCGAGGAGGATGGAGGATCAAATACATCAGGAAAAACTGGGAGGTGTTTGGGTTCTTGGGATCACAGCCAAGGTCTTGGGCATGCTAGACAAGTTCTCTACCACTGACCTACATCCACAGTCCCCCAATGGGCTGTTCCTTATAGTTCAACTTGTATGTAGTTGGGACTTTGCTCTGAAGTTTTGAAATTTGGTTTCTTGTCTTTAACATGGCATCTCCCCTTTTTTCTCCCCTCCCCCCATCAAAGCAATGACTGAATCAGTCAGAGAGCCCATGCTTATCAGAAATAAAAAGTTGGTTCAGTCAATCCAACTTCACGGATGTTGGGGATGATGAAGACATAAAACCCTCACTGTCCCTCAAATTGGCATATATTAGAACAGAGCTTTTGACTCACTAGGTCTGGGGTGGGCCTGAGCATGTGCTTGTCTAGCAAGCTCCCAGGTGATGATGATGCCTTTGAGAGCCATTGGCACACACCATCTTTAGACAAAATGTGGTTTTAAGGGAGAGATTAGATCACTAACTACTGGGAGATTTATTAAGTCAGATCATGCTTGGTTTAGGAACAGCTCAGGCTTCTTCTAAACCATATTGTCTTCAACTACTGTCCTCTCCCCAGGTCTTTAACCATCTATTTCTGTTTTATAAAGTCATGCAGTTTCTCAAAACCAGTATGTAGCTGTGTGAGATGGTTGGAAGGCTCACACATACTACACAGAAAGAATTAATGTTAGCATCTTTTAGTTCTAAATTTGGCTACTCACTAGTGACAGTTGACTTACATATTGCCTCTATGCTTAAAATATGAAAATAATAATTTGTGTATTGATGCAGGTCACTGAAATTAATTATATTTCATAAGTATGAATGAATAACTAAGTATCTTTCTTTTATTGCAGAATCTGTTCCCAGTTATACCACCAAAGTATCATTTAGCCTTCAACTTTGATGTAATCCATCAGAAGAACACAAAATTTTATTATCCTGCAGAACTCTAAATCTTTATGTATGGGTTATATCATATAGGAATTCTGGCTTGTGCTTAAAGAGACAAAGTCTAGAAACTACTATCATTTTTGTTAAGCAACTTTCAAATTTCAAACATGGCAAGACTGATGGATTAGTTTATGAATTGATATTTGCAGATTTAATTGCATATACTTGTTTCTAAATAATGCATATTTAACATTTTAGAAAATACATTCTTTTCTTAAAAATGTTTTTTCACAATACAGCCAGGTGTGGTGGCACACACCTTTAATCCCAGCACTTGGGAGGCAGAGGCAGGCAGATCTCTGTGAGTTTGAGGCCAGCCTGGTCTATAAAGCAGTGAGATCCAAGCCAGCCAGGGTTACATAGTAAGACCGTGTCTCAAAAAATTGAAAGAAAACAACCCCCCCCCAAAAAAAACCAATGTAAAGATCAAGTTCTGAAATTGAATGCATTGTTTTTAGGAATCAAGGGCTAAAGGTTTATAAAAAGAGCATTTATATCTAAATAGATGAGAATTTTACTATCTTGAAAGTGTTTTAGTATATTGTTTACTTTTATTGAGAATAATGCTTCCTTTGGTTTATACAAATTGCTATTTCCATGGTTTGAATTTATTTTGGCAAGTATGTTTCACATAGGATTTTGGCTTTCAGGGGAGACTTACGGTATAATTTGGGCCTTAGGGTGGGAAGAAGGGCTGGTGTGTTAGCCTTGCATTGGGCACTAGATGCCCAGATGGTTTGCAGATGGCACTAGCTGGGTAGTGTGGGCTGGGCTGGTCATGAGAAGCTCTGAATGTTCTTCATGTGTAGCCATCATGACCTGAGGGGTCACCTGGGGGTCCTGGGACTGACCTCAGAGCAAATAGGGCTCCTTCTTCCAAGGTAGCTGTGGTAAGGAGAGGGCTGCTTCACCCTGATAACTCCCAGCGAGGCCCGCTTCTGGGTACCCACCCATAGGAACACTGTTGTGGTCTGGAAGAGCCTCTGGGACTGTGTTTTCCGTTGGCAAAAGCAGGGTTCATTTCAGGCCTTTGTGCTCTTGTATCATATTATAGGACGGACAAAGTTATACACGATTTCTATTTTTATGCCAGTGTCTTAGGCTAAAACAAGTAGGATGTGACTGGTTGTCTTGAAGATAAACTTAAGGGGGAAACAGACATGTGTTCACTTGTTTGTACAGGAGTCATTCCCTGTGGTGTAGCCCAGTGCTGCTCACTACAGCTTTCTGAACTGATGGACATGCTCTATATCTGCATTGTTGATATGGTATCAGCCAGATACGTGTTTCTGGGACACTTGAATAGTGACTGATGTGACTCAAAAACTAAATTTTTTTTAAACCCCAGCTATAACTGGCTACCCTACTGGGTAGCAAGGCCTAACCCTTTGGGATATTTTTGGAAATTTATCTGGGGTAAAAAAGAAAGACAAGGTGCTGGAGAGATGGCTCGGAGGTCAAGAGCACTGACTGCTCTTGCAGAGGACCCAGATGGTTAACAACCATTTGCAACTCCAGTTCTAGGGGATCTGATGCCCTCTCTGGCCTCTGTGGGCATTTACATACATGTAGGCAAAACATGCATACATGCAGGCAAAGCACTCATACATATAAAATAAAAAATAAAATTTTAAGGAGGCTGGAAATAGAATTGTGTAAATATGTATGTATGCATATTTGTCCACCCAAACTTATACCCCTCTCCACCTTTGTCTGTATGGACCTCTGTGCCCCTGTCTATGTCTTTCTTAAGCCAGGTATGGCTATTTGAAAACCTGAAGCTGTTCTGAGAATATTTAAAAAATATAAATCCAAGGTGTATCAAAAGCCAAAATATTACTGAGTGATGATTTAAGAAGGCATAGAGAGCAAAGTTGTAAGTCAAAAGCAGGTTTTTTTTTTGTTGTTTTTTTTTTTTGTTTGTTTTTTTAAGACAGGCTCTCCATGTAACCCCTGGAACTTGCTATGTAGACCAACCAGACTGGCCTTGATTTCACAGAGATCTGCCTGCCTCTGCCTTCTGAGTGCTGAGATTAAAGACTTATGCCATCATATCCAGGGTGGTTAATTCCTTTTAAAAATTATTTTTATTTCTATTTTATATGTATGAGTGTTTTGCCTGCATGCATGTAGATATACCACATGTATGCAGTGCCTGAACAGGCTGGAAGAGGAGGTTGGATACCCAGGAACTGGAGTTATGGGTGGTTGTTGGCCACCATATGAGTGCTGGGAACTGCACCTGGGTCATCTGCCAGAGCAGCCAGTGCTCTTA